GACGCGTTTCAGAAAGGCGGGGCATAGAGGAGAAACAATAATGGACAGTATGTGGAAAATAATGTGTTGTTTGAACCTTAAACTGCATAAACACATTTCATTACACCAAATACACAAAATAATGTTCTTTTTAGCAACATCATATGACCCCTTTAAAAGCAGCATTCAAGTAAGACATGTCTTCTTATTAAAGCTATAACTTTATATTTAATCTAATTATTTGGTCAAGAGCAGTGAATGATTTTCTGATTTTATTTTATTCTTTGGGTCATATTAACAGCGTAGACAGCAGTACTACATATTACGCTGCTGTCACTTCATACACAGATCTAATATAAACATGTGATTTCTTTCCCAGCTATTTACCTTCACAGACATAACCGACTGCGTTTTTGTAACTCATGTGTGTTTTTAACATAACCTTGTGTGTATTTGACAGTTTAAGCGCGATAAGACATGAAAGAGAATTTAGTTCTGTACTCACATGCCGTGTGACAGCCGCTTTCTGTGCATGTGCTTCAGATGTGTGCACTCAGAAAACCCTATATCAGAAGTTTAAACTTTAAAACACTTTAAAACTTTAAAACACATGATTTCAGCGCGATGGACATAATAAAAACCAAACAGATGGTTTTTTTGGCAGAGTATCTGAGGTATGCGCTGTAAGGCACAGCCCTATTGTGGAAAAGGGGAAAGGGGGCGGGGAGCAGCAGCTCATTTGCATTTAAAGATACAGGTAAGGGTACAGGCACGAACAGCGTGTTTCTGCTTCCACTCAAAATAGGCATTTTCAAAATGATATAATAAATTATCTGTGGGGTAGTTTGACCTAAAACTTCACAGACACATTCTGGGGACACCTAGACTTATTTTGTATCTTGTAAAAAGGGGCATAATAGGTGCCCTTTAATGAAGTCACAGACACAGCGGCCAATTCTGATTGGCCGATGACAACATTTCTGTTGTTTTTTCGTAATATCCCTATTTACTTTTTCTTTTTCTTTTCTTATGGTGCTATATTAGTTTAATTTCTGTTGAATCACTCTGCGCTCTTTTTCTTCTCACATTGTAAAATAATTTACCTCAAATCATTATTTAATATTCATGTATTTTATATTTGATAAGTATACTGTAAAAAAAAATTATTGGAATTTTAAGACTGTAAAATGCTAGAGCGAAGAGCTAGAGGCAAATTCCCATACTCTTCAAAGTGAAAAAAAAACTGTAATAACTAACAGGACATTTCATGTAATTTTACAGTTAAAAAATTACAGTTAAATTTAAATTTTTTTGGAAGTTAAAAGTAATTTTATAATTTACAGTGAAAATGTAAATTGACATTCCCAGAATTCCATGTGATACTTCGCATTTGATGGTTTTTCATTAAAATAACTATTTCTTCTTAGTTTTCTCTGTAAATTTCACATTTCACCGTGTATCTGCATTGCAGGTGGGATTAATAAACCCTTTCAGCCTGATAGAAGACTCCTGTTGAGAATTATTTTTATTTTATTTTTTTGATAATGAGCATCTAACTGTACATAATCCTTCACATACAGGTGCATCTCAATAAATTAGAATGTCGTGGAAAAGTTCATTTATTTCAGTAATTCAACTCAAATTGTGAAACTCGTGTATTAAATAAATTCAATGCACACAGACTGAAGTAGTTTAAATCTTTGGTTCTTTTAATTGTGATGATTTTGCACTGAATTTATTTAATACACGAGTTTCCACAATTTGAGTTGAATTACTGAAATAAATGAACTTTTCCATGACATTCTAATTATTGAGATGCACCTGTAAACTTTCATACTCGTTCTGGAGGATGAGTCAAGCTCTCAAGATGTTCATTTTAACTTCACATTGCCCGTAGACCTGATCAATCAGCAGGGCTTTGGGATGCTGGGTGAATTTGTTTTTGTTACCATGGTAACACTCACCTGACCTTGATTGCTTTCTCTTTGGCTCCTCAGGTATATCCAGATGATGCTGGTCATGTGCAATCCTCTACAGGTGAGTTACCTGAAATCAAAAATGTTTAATGGACATTACTGGTCTTATTGTGCATGATTCAGTCTGTTTGTGTTATTTCAAATATGTTTTCTTCATAATCCTACATGAAAATAGTCTGAATTAATTAATGTGGTAACAGTTTACAATAAGGTTCCATTATAGCAATAGTTCATGCATTAGCTAGCATGAATTTACTATGATAAATACATTTTTTACAGCATTCATTAATCTGTTAATGTTAAAAAACAAACAAACAAAAAAACGCCTATTTCAACTTAAAAACTTAAGTTCAGTTGCTGCCTTAAAGATTTAAGTATAATCAACTTGGTTGGACAAGTCATTTCAATTTAAACTTAAAAACAATTGTGAAATTTCATATAAATTAATATAACAAAAACTTGAAGTTGACTGGAATTGATTATGTTGAAAAACATAAGTTGCCATGACTTACTGATTATATCATTTTTCACAGTTAATAAAAATTGTTTGTTGTTTGTCCATGTCAGTTCACAGTGCTTTAACTAATGTTAATATTCAACTTTTGATTTTACAAAATGTAGCAAATGTTGAAACTGACAAACTAAGATTAATTAATTCAGTACAAGTATTGTTCTTTCATGTTAACTAGTGTAGTTAACTAATGTTTACAAATTATACCGTATTGTATGTTAAATAGTAAACTTTATTAATGTTAAATTGTCATATTTAGTGTTCTGTTGCAGGTAATGCAACATAATTAATTTAGTACAAGTTAAACATAAATGTTTGTGTAATACAGTTAATAAAAGAATAAATAAAAAATTGTGAAAAAACCATAATATAATAATAATAAAAATAACAAAATCGTAAAATAAATATAAATAATAATAATAATAAAAAAGAAAATCAACAGAAAAAATAATTTACAAATATATAGATAATATCAAACTTGAATACATTTGAAAAAAAAAAAAAAAAATATTGTTACTGAATGTGTAAAAGTTTTGGAGGCTAAACATGACCAGCAGTAGATCATCCAAAATCCACTGCCAACTCACTTTCTGATGTGAAATACCATGCTTTAACAATACACACCATAAATTCAACCTAGGCTAACCATAGTGCTTTTTTGGTAGTGATGAGTTCAGAATTGTTTTCACAGTGAGTTCACTTCAGAAAAATTTCTGAATATAAGGGGAAATAAAGACTGGATGTGTGTGGTCTGTTGCCTGCAGGTGTTTGGAGTGGACGGGGTGAATTTCAGCGTGCACGTGGAGAATCAGACTCGTGCACGAGACGCCATGAGCCGGCGACATCATCGCGTGTACCAGCTTTACAGCCGCACCAGTGGGAAACACGTCCAGGTGCTCGGACGCAAAATCAGCGCCCGAGGAGAGGACGGAGACAAATATGGTAACAACACACACACACACACACACACAATCACACACACACTCAAGAAAGACCACCCACAAACACACACAGGAAACAGGAAAAGTAGAAGACAAAGACTCAGCTACTGCAAATACAGTTATTCACAGACAGAGAGAAGAAGCCAGTGAATTCTGTTGAAATTCCAATAAAACAAGTATATTGTGACATACATCATTGCAGTAATACTAAACTACTAATATCATAGGTTTTAGCCATATCACCATAATCTACCAAACAATTGCACATTTTCTGTTTTCAAAATTGTGAATTTTTCATATAAATGAATGAAAATGTGGCCATCAGCCACCCTGAGCTTTAGATAAAAGTATTGGCGACTGAAAAACGTCAATCTCTATCTTCGTTTACTCCTTTCTCCCCCCTTCCATTTATCCATCCATCCCCTCTCCTCCTCTGAATGGCCATGGATGGGTTTCAGAAGCACACAATCAATGGACATGAAAGTTGAAAGTGGATATCTGCACTCACATCTAATAATGGGCCTGTTTTATTGAGGAGTGAATCTCACAAAATGTCCAAAATGCAAAATGCAAAAAAAAA